AGCCCAGTGAAGAAATGGGCAGAAGACATGAACAGACACTTCTCCAAAGAGGACATCCAGATGGCCAACAGACACATGAAACGATGCTCAGCATCCCTCCTCATCAGGGAACTACAAATCAAAACCACACTGAAATAGCACCTCACGCCAGTCAGAGTGGCTAAAATGAGCAAATCAGAGAACTCTAGATGCTGGCGAGAATGTGAAGAAACCGGCACCCTCTTACACTGTTGGTGGGAATGTAAACTGGTACAGCCCCTCTGGCAAACAGTGTGGAGGTTCCTCAGGAAACTAACAATAGAACTCCCCTATGACCCAGCAATAGCACTAGGAATTTACCCAAGGGATACAGAAATGCTGATGCATAGGAGCACATGTACCCCAATGTTCAGAGCAGCACTCTCAACAATAGCTAAAACATGGAAAGAGCCTAAGTGTCCATCCACGGGCGAATGGATCAAGAAGATGTGGTTTATCTATACCATGGAATACTACATGGCAATGAGAAACAATGAATCTGGCCATGTGTAGCCACATGGATGGACCTTGAGGGTGTTCTGCTGAGCGAAATAAGTCAGGCAGAGAAGGACAAATATCATATGTTTGCACGTATAGGAGGATTAGGAGGAACTTGACGGAGGAACAAGGGGGAGAAGAAGGGGGGAAATGGTGGGGGAAAGGGAGAGAGGCAAACCATGAGAGACTCTTGAATGCTGACAAAAACTGAGGACTGATAGGTGTGGGGGGGAGGGAGGATGGGCATGTAGGAGGGCACTTGTGGGGATGAGCACTGAGTGTTATGTGGAAAGTAACTTGACAATAAACTATTTGTAAAAAAAAAAAAAAGAAATATATCAAATTAAAAAGGTAGTAATAGAATCTATTCATGCTTTTTGCTATATGTTGGAGTATGAATATGACCATAAACCTGAAGAATAGTTGATCACTGCGGTTCAACCACCTTAATTATGGAGCAGATCACTTAATGATTGATTTCACCATTGCAATCAGAATCATTCACAAGAGAAGCCAAATTGAATGGGTAACTGTTATCCAGTTCTCTAAATCACCTGTATTAGACAGTGTAAATCAATAAAAAGAATACAATGGGAGAGTAAAGAACAACTGAAGCAAAAGTTCTTAGGTATGTTTCCAAAGTATTTGCAAAACATAATTTAAAATGAATGATCAGCTAAGTTGATCGTGGACTGCTATGTTGCAATTCTTCCTTAACACAGAAACTTTCTTTTAGAATGCTGTAAGGTTCATTGACAAAGGCAGTTACATAGAGATCTGGGAGAATGACTGGCTAAAAAGAGAGGTGAGTGGAATTTTAAAAACAATTTCTTATTATTGTTTTGAACTGGAAATGACTTTTATTTATGAGCTGAAGGCATGGGAAAAGCATAGAATTGTAGCTAGCTGAAGTAAAATAAAATTCAAGTGGAATCCTAATCTTATTACAAGCTGTTACTCCATGAGTACCATCAACAATTTCAATAATAATCAGAAGTCATTTTTGGCATCACGATGCAATATACTCAAATGTTTGAAGCTTCTCTATGCCCTAAAAATTATCTGGTCTTTCTCAAGACCCTACTTCCTTCTGGATGGTGGGAGGAAGGCTAAAGGATCATTCTAACCTCATTCTCTGCTGTTTTTAATTGCCCCTTTGGAATGACGTGGTCTCCTTTGCATAAAGGTTTAGTTGTTTGCATTTCCTTACTTACCTCTGCACTTCTCCAAGATGGACCCTGTTGTATAAGAAGGTGGGGTTACATGCCTTCTTGTGGGGAATATCATTAAAGAGGGCTCAGATCTATGGAATTTCGTTTGGACCTTTGCTCTCTTTCATCTGTAGAGGACATGCGTCTGTCTGCTCCCTGCACTAATGACTTCTGAATGGACTGCTCTGCCCTTTTGACTTTGTGTTGCAGCCAACACCAAACCCACAATTACAGCCATTTGCCCATGGCCAAGATGCCCCTGTCCACTACAGTCTCTATATGCTATCCTAGGTTGGTCCTCAGACTATCTTCACATCTCCCTCTGGAGAGCATGCAGAAAACAGCGGACCCAGTGTGCTGCCTTAGACTCAGCTAACTACCTGTCTCCCGATACCAGTGCTACAATATTGCTCTTTACTGAATATGATCATGTGAGGACTTATAGGCCTTCTTTGTTACGAGGCACTGTCCTGTTTTCCTTACGTTGTACATACTAGTCCCTCTGCCTTATCTCCTTACCTCCTTACCCTCCTCTGCCTGGAAAACTCTAACTCTTCCTTTAGGCACAGACTTTGAAGACTGATTTCTTTCTGAATCATTTTGTATTTCCCCCTGAAAGTCTTGAGTACTTTTTCCTCAGTGCTCTCTTATTTCATTGTAACTCTTGCTAAAATATGTTGAAATTGTCTGTTTATGCATCTATCTCTTCATTGCACAGAGCAGGCTATGCCTTTTCAACTATGTGTCCGTGAAAACTAATACATAATCTATGTTCACTAAATAGTTACCGAATAAGAGAATGTCTATGAGTGTCTCTAAGTGTATATTCATGGAGACATGAATCAAGTACATGGGTTAGATCTTGGGTGAAGATGTGAGAGCATGTTGTTGGATATAACAGGTAGGGAAGCTTTGGTCTAGATGTTACAGGGGTGCTACAGAAAATGTGCAAAACTCATTACTTTGAAATTGCCTTTACATTCAAACAAGTAGTTACCCAAACTATGCTTAGATACCATCTATGAAAGAAAACTCAATATCTTTTGAAAGAATTCACTTCAACTACACCCAGCTCTTGTTGGCAAGTTATATATATGTGATTCTTGAATCACTAACATGTGATTTCTTCAGCATTAACATGTGTGTCCTTAGCTCTATGCCTATATTTTTATTTTCCTACCAAATATTTCCACATATATGTACCGAAGGCACCCAACATGCCGAAAGCAGAACTCATAAATTTCCCCTTAAATTTTCACTTCTTGCATTTCCCTTTTCACCGTGTGCTCAGACACTTGAAGTAAAACTGTCAACATCACCTTCTCTTCTTTTTTCCTTGCCTCCTATTTGGTTGAACAGTGTTGGTGAGTCTAGGAAACAAGGAATTTAAACATTAATGTGATTTCTATGATACTGACAATTGCCTTTAAGTTGCCTTCATAAGGTCATGGTGAATAGGAGTCTATACTACTTCCAAAACAAATCAAGAGGAAGCTCCAATTTTGAAAAATGAATATTAAAAAACTCAAGGTGAAGGGCTCAATCAGTTAAGGGTCAGACTCTTGACCTCAGCTCAGGTCTTGATCACAGGGTCGTAAGTTCAAGCCCTGCTTTGGTGTCTGTGCTAGGTGTAAAGCCTACTTAAAACAACAACAACAATAATAACAGCAAAATAAGTTAAATTAAAAAATTAAAAACTCAAGGTGAGTTTAACAGTTAAAGAATATTAGGGAAGAGTTTAGTTTTTATACTTTTATTGAATACAATAGTATAATCCTAATTATAATAAATTAACAGTTCCAATCTTAAATCCTATAAGATGTCATAGATATTAGGTTCAGAGAAAATGATTGCAAACATTTATATTTGACTGATAAGAAAGGCTTTTTTGGTGTTTTGAGCCTTCCTACTAAAGCCACAAATTACATTTTGTTTTGTTTTCTTCTCAGAATTCAGTAGAAATAAAAGACACAAAAAATGTCAAGTCTAATTAAATCATGAGCAAAAACAGCTTAGTAATAAAGGACAAATCATTTTAAGGAAATTTAATAGATTTAATTTCTCCTTATTTCAATAAATATTTATTTTAGCATTATTAAATTTACTCCCAAAATTAATTAAAACTGTCTCTGGTTATATGTATTATCATAAGAATTGAAAAGTGCCTGGAAATGGAATAATGTATGTCAATTAATTTCTTTAAGGAAGGTTTAGAATGAGTAACAAGGGATATTTAATAATGGAACTCCCGAAAATATTTCTCCATTTAACTATCGTTCAACAATAACCGAACACTTAGATCTGTGGGAAGAATATGAAATGTCCCCTACATGACTTCCATTATCTGGTTTTATTTAGTATGCATATTAAGGAAATGAAGAAAAACTGAAATTTACAAATGACTTAGACTAACTCAACAAATAGAAAGCCAGTAAAACTAGACAAAAGGATTCAAAGAGGTTAGTTATCAGAGTTTCAAGTGTGAGGAGGCATACAGCTAACTTGGATCTGGCAGGGAAAACTTCAAGAACACATATTTAATTCAGGATCCTAAGTCTCTGACTTACAATAGTTTTAACTAAATTCTTTCCCAATTTCTTGGATATTTGAGGATGGGGAAGATGGGGAGGGAAAAGCAGTCTTCTACTTATTCCTTTTCACTTTCTTACCCTAGAAATCTAAAGATATTTTTCATCTCCCTAACATTTCGAAAGGCTGCAAAGGAGACAGTAATTGCTGAGAACCTTAGTCAGTAGTCCCAAGGGGTATGTGATGCCAAAAGATATCCTTAGCTTGAGAGGTTGGACCCAAGGGACCCTTATTCCCAGCTTTGGAAGAAGACCAAGAACTGTGTGTGCTGCCTCCCAAGCATGCCAAGTCCTTGGGTCAAACATTTCCAAATGTTCTATAATTCCTCTGTTTACAACCCCTAAATATAATTTCTTTCTCATTCTTTGACATTTTAAAATTATTAACTTTTCTTTAAGGCATTCAAGCCTGTAATCAAGCTGATTATCTCCCAACGCATGAGATCCTAAAGCACCAACCCCTTGCTTTCTAATTTAGTATTATGGACTCAAATGGTTTTGCTAAATTGTTTAAGGCAGGTAAAAAATATATACTTTTCTTTTGAGCTCCAAGCCACCAGCAGTATTTGAGGTTTTTTTTTTAAAGATTTTATCTTTAAGTAATCTCCACACCCAATGTGGGGCTTGAATTCATGACACTGAGATTAAGAGTTGCACCCCTTACTGACTGAGCCATCCAGGTGCCCCTTTTTGAGCCTTTTCTATGATACCAATGTTGTTTTATGTTACAATTATTTGTATATTTGTTCACTGGATTGTAAACTTCTTTGAAGGAAGGAGCCATGCCTTATTCACTTTTGTAACTCTCTATGCCTCGCACAGGATCTTGGCCATAGTAGGAATTTAAGCATGTAATACATGACTTATGTGATAGAGATATGAGTGTGGTAATATACAGAATGCTTCCCAATTCAAAAATACAATAAGTACATTTCAGTTACAAATAAAAAATGTCAGCTTGTAACAAGAGATACTGAATCTAAACCCCTGAACCTTTTTTGTTTCATCATATTCTCTTGAAATACTTACTTTTTCCAGTTTATTTTTCTATTATTCTCACCAGTCTATTGCTTTCTCTTTTATACTGTTGCTTCTAATTTTCTTATTGTCCTGACCTCTCTCTGTGAGCACCTCTCAGGGCAGCACCTGTGTAGCTCATGCTGTATGAGGCAAGAAGAAAGGTGAGTTGGGAGTTCTGTCTAGTAACTTTCCATATTTTTCCCACTATCAAGCCTTCTTTAGACAAAAGTTATCAAAATACACTTCTTAAAGACTGATGGGAATTCCATCAATAGAAGCAGCAAATTTGTTCATATTTAAGTTAGCCATATTTCTTTAGTAAATGTCAAACCTGCTATGTCAGTCAATGACCTTCCATCACCTGCAAACTAAAAACTAGACCCTTTATTATGCTAAGTGAAATACATCAGTCAGAGAAAGACAGATATCATATGTTTTCACTCATGTGGAACTTGAGAAGCTTAACAGAAGACCATGGGGGAAGGGGTGGGGAAAAATAGTTACAAACAGAGAGGGAGGGAGGCAAAACATAAGAGACTATTAAATACAGAGAACAAACTCAGGGTTGATGGGGAGGTTGCATAGAAGAGAGGGAAGTGGATAATGGGCATTGAGGAAGACACTTGTTGGGATAAGCACTGGGTGTTGTATGTAACATTCCCGCGATGAATCACGGGAATCTACCCCCAAAACCAAGAGTACACTGTATACACTGTATGTGAGCCAACTTGACAATAAAGTGTATTAAAAACAAAACAAAACAAAAACTAGACCCGTTAGCATTAGTTGGCTCTTCCTTAATTGTCCAATTTCTCTCCTACTTCTCCCCACTTCCACTTTATAGCTATCTATACCAAAATGATTGTGGCTAACATGTGGTGCCTAGAATGTACCCTCTTCTGTTGCCTAGAGAATCCCTACTTGGCCGTCAAGATCTAGATTAGATGTCCTCTATTAATTCTCCTTTATCTCCTACACCAGACATAGGGTGAACCTCCCACCATACCTGGACAGCTTCCGTTATGGTTTAATCCCATTGCTTTCTGTTTTTATCACCATCTTCCCTAATTAACTACATGGATAATTACTCTTATTTTGTTGTTTACCTCTACCTCCAGCTCATAGATAAGTTCAGTGATGTTTTTGAAGGGTAGGAAAGGACAACTCCTGCCATTCACTATAACTGCCTTCCCATGCAAACAAGTACTGCACATAATCTGGAAAAGAGACCCACCCATTCCTTCTTAGAGAGAAAGGACAAAGCAAACCCAGTAATAAATAATACAGGATAGATCTTCCCCTTAAGCAAATAGATTTTTAAGAGTTGAATTTCTTATAGAAGACCAGATAGAAGTAAGTCAACAAGTACCAACATCCATTCTCTTCTTCTGAGAACAGATTGCAAATCACAGGAAGGAAGTTGAAGAATTAGAAAATACTATTCATAAACTGGAAGAAGAAAACTTGGTGCTTATTGATCAACTATTCAACTGTAGACTTGTGGATCTCAGAATACCCAGGTGAAAGTCATTAGCGTATCTAGAAAGTAGTTTTGTCAACATTTGTATCTGTAAAAAAGTTGTTAATTTATTTTTTCTAATATTTATTTTATTTTTGGGAGAGAGTGAGAGCAAGCAGGGGAAGGGCAGAGAGAGAGAGAGGCTGAGCTGCCAGCATAGAGCCTGACGTGGGGCATGAACCTATGAACCATGAGATCATGACCTGAGCTAAAGTCGGACACTTAACTGACTGAGCCACCCAGGCACCCCAAAAAGTTGTTATTTTTAAAAGATAAGTCGACTTAATTTTTGATGCTCCAGCCAGATGGCAATAGTTGAAAAGAAAAGAACTCACAAAACAGCTGTGATGAAGTTGTAATATCACTATAATCAACCATTGATATAGTCCAAACTTTGGCTTGCTTTTTCTAGCAATGCACTGTAGTCATAATAGCAAATACTTAACATGAATATCACAACTGGTGACCTTCAAAAGCCTCCATGACAGTAGGAAAAATAGGCATAAAAATAAAAGCATACCCGTGAAGCCGAAGAAGTATGAGGTGTGGAGTTAGCACTACCACAAAGTAGCTTCCTGGAGGTCTTCTGGGCTTCTAGTTTCCTTGTGGACTGTAAAATGGTTTCCTTCAGTACTTAAGGGAAGAATCAAACTATCTTCTAGGCAGAGAAAATATTCCTACATAAGAGAAACCAAATGTGTATTTTAGGTTCCCTTTTTCTTACCTGACAAAAGAATTCTTAATACACCAGTCGTGAGGAAAACTAGGACCCTGGAATATGGATTAAAACTCAAAGTGGTTATTATAATTTGGGCAGGTAGTCAGAAACAAGAAATAATCTGAATAGTAGCATGAGAAGGGAAAGAATCACACAAATGTAGGGTGTACATGTGTTGGATGGGAGACAAATGTCTAGGTCTAGGAATTAAAACAGAGAAATTCAACATGATGGAAGGACCATGAAAAAATTTCTACCCAAGTGGTTCCGGTGGCTTGTGTGGCATGGAAAGTACTATTTGTGATGTGATAAAGAATTTTTTACTTACAAACTTTCTGATGTGTGGATACAGGTAAGTTCTGGGGGGTTTTGTTTGCTGGGCTAAGTGATGGGCATACAAGACTGGAGAAACTGGGAGATAGGGCAATTGCGCTGCAGGCAGAAAGCTGGGCAGGGCAGGGTAGAAAAGCGGGCCTGCTGATCCCTTTCACAATGTCCGTATGATGCCCCAGAGAGGTAGACACCAATGCAGATGAGGCAGGCAGTCAGGCTCAATGAATGTGCTATTTCCTGGATGCTTAAATTACCAGTCCCTTGAGCTGATGCTCTCAAAGGGTCCTCCGGGGTGGGGGCATCACCCACTTGCCAACCTTCTCTCTGATCAGGTCCATTCCATTCTCCTCTCCCGTCTACTGCTGCTGCTGCCTTCTTAGCAGTCAGGTCTAATCTCTGCAGGCAGTGCTGGCACTGTGGCTTACAACCACTGCTGTACCTGACATCCACCATTGTCCTTCCCTCTTCCCGAACAGGCTCAGCCTTGGGAAGGAGCTTACTCTCCAAACTGCCGATTCCACTTGCTGCTTTGATCAGCTCAGTCTGGCCTATCTGATTTGGTGCTGCCATGGATATGAATTACTAGTTACAACAAAGTGGAATTATTTCACTGGCCAGAGAGAACTTGGCAGTGACAGGCAGGGAGATGAGAAACTTTTAATGGAGATTTTCATTAAGTTGTTTGCTGCATCCTATGCACCTTAACTCTATCCAGTTTAACCCCCTAACCCCAGAAAAATCTGCAGAACTGACAATGTTCATCAGTGCCTTGTGGGTTGATTTTCTTTAGTGAGCGATATGAGTGTTTAGTCTTGCCTTAGAGTTGGGAGAGATGAATTCAAAATCCTACCAAGCAAAAACAAACAGCATAGGCAACATTTATTAGAGCTGGGTTAGTTACCCTGGTGTATGCTTCCAAGGCTGGTTTTCCTTCATAACCAGCATTTATCACACTAATGATTACTTATTTAGTGTCCGCTTCCTTGCTAGATTGTAAATTCTTTGAGACAAGTGTTTAGGACATTTTAGAAAGATCTGCCTAAAGGAACAGAAATGTGTAAACCCTTAATTTCTGTTATGCTACTTCTCCAGAAGGGTAACTCTGAGTATATTCGGGAGCTTTTAGTGTAACCCATTTTCAAGTCAAAGAAATATAACACATATTACATATTTTTTGGCAACTTCCCTTTTCACCTATTTGTTGAGAACTCAGTCCTACATAATACTAGAAGGGGGTGAGAAATAGACACAAACTGTGCCCAAAGGAAATACAAAAAGTTGTTTTCCTATTTGGCTGAAAAATGGGGTATTCTAGCTAATAGAGTCACTACCTTCCCCACCCAAGGATCTGCATACATTTTCCCTTCACAACTCACATAGAACATCACAGTATTTGTTTAACACATCAGATGAGGCGAGTGACCACCAGAGGTGACTGCCCAGGGACTCCAGCACCACAGAACTGAGACTAAGTGGACCAATACCTATATAACATCGTTCTTTAAATATTTTCTATATCATCAAGTGTTGCCCTATGATGGTATAAAATTATAATAAATTAATGATGAGAGAGAATCCAGATTTATGAAGTTTATGGCATTTGGTAAGATAATAATTATGCAAAACAGTAAAACCCCTAGGGCGCCTGGGTGGCTCAGTCGGTTAAGCAACTCACTTCTGCTCAGGTCATGATCTCATGGTTAGTGAGTTCAGGCCCTGCATCAGGCTCTCTGCATTCTCCCCTCTCTCTTCCGTCCCTCATCCATGCACTCGCACATGTGTGCTCTCTCTCAAAAATAAGTAAACATTTTTTTTTAGGAGCACCTTGGTGGCTCAGTCAGTTGAGCATCTGACTTCAGCCTAGGTCTTGATCTCGCCATTCCGAGTTCAAGCCTTGATAGGGCTCTGTGCTGGCAGCTCTGAGCCTGAGGCCTGTTTCAGATTCTGTGTGTGTCTTTCTCTCTCTGCCTCTCCCCCACTCACTCTTTCCATCAAAAGTAAGTAAACATTAAAAATAAGTAAACATTTTTTAAAAGTTTTATAAACATAAATATTGTATGTAGTTACATTATTTGCCTTATACTTAAGCATTTTGAATAACAATTTACTCATGTTCTTTAAATAACTGACAACCTGTAATCTGGGGGATTCACTCTGCTTGCTGGGTTGCTAAGCATAAGGGGTGGTTTGACTATCGACAAGAGTGCAATCCACACTGTCTTCAGGTAAACTTCATAGAAAAGTTATGTGAAGATTTCAAGACATCATATTTTCTGGTTGCAAGTTAGTGGGTGCTGAAAAGCAGAGCACAGGATTAAACACATGCACAGAGAGCTGCAATAGCAGACATACAACTCCCCAGGCTTGGGGCTGAAACATGGCACTCAGAGACAGCCAGCAACTCGATGTCCTCTGGGACTCCTGCTGTTTGCTGTTCTTCTCTTTTCCTCTCCATTTTAAAACCTCCCATTCAGGCAATGGCTGTTATTCATTTGGATTACTAGACTAGTACCCTAACTGGTGTCAAGCTCACTTTCATTCCCAGAGCATTAAGTCTGTTATTCCTTATCACACAAGCCCTTCCTCACCCCAAGCTCTTCCCTGGCAAATAGCCCCTGGTTCTTCAAGTCTCCACTCAGGTTTCATCTCCTCCTGGAAACCTTCCCTTATCTCCTAAAGCTCAACCAGGTGTGTCTTCTCTCTGTCCCATAGCACTTCTCACACTACTGCCATCACCCATCAGGGTGCAGACTGTCACCCTAAAATACTATAAGCCCATCTGCCACACCGCTGGGCCTCATGTTCCTCCAGGGTAGAAACTGCCTCATTTTTCATCTGTGTCTCTCCAGAACCTAGCAGAGAGACAGACACCAGTGACCAGATGGTACAATGTTTGTTGACAGATTGCTTTTCTCATTTGTTTTTTTTAGGCGACTGTATCTTACTCAAGCTGCTGGACTGGAAGTGCCACCTGAAGCACCTTTGGAGTTGTCAGAAACATTTAAAGGTATTATTTTATTGTAGTGGTGACAGGTTTTTTGGGTTTTTTTAATTAGCAACTACTTATTGAGCATCTATTATAGGTACCTCAAACCCAAGAGCTATTCAGGGAATAGATACACACCAGCTTCTCCATATTTCTTTTCTCCTTGAAGCAATTGTCCTAACCCACCTCCTTTCTCTAGTCCGGTTTTCAAATTCAAGTTGCCACATTTCACAGTGAATTACATAAATACTGGTGGAGAGGGATGGAGTGCTGTCTATACTGGTGTATTTTTGGTTCTAATTTAGGCAACCAACCAAAATACCAACACACACATGAGCTACCATATGATTACCAAAACCTGTCAGCTAAGAGAACAGAATTAACTTAGAGATTCTAAAAATGGGGCTCACTCTCACATTAATATATAGATTCTACATTCCTTAAAGTTCTTCCAAATTAAAAATGTGACAAAGTGTGTATTATATTTTCATTTGTCCAAAAATACCAATTTCCTTGTATTCCTCCCAGAAGAGTCAAAATTTCAATGTATAGAAGTAAAAAGCAGAGACCTGATGAGCTCATCAGCTGAGAGTGGTGCCTTATATGTCAGTCATGAGGATAGTACCAGGTACAGCAAGGACCTGAAGACAGATGAGAAAAGTGACTCATCCATACAGTTTGGGGCCTCTGATATGAAATACTTACTGTATGAGGACGAGCAGGATTTCAAGGTAAGATTCATAGGGGAAAAAAATTCTGAGTTCTAAGAGAATGCTCTTTTATTAATTAATAGAGAAAAATAACCTATAATATGGATATTAAAAAATTCTGCTTGCAATTATTGGTAAAATTGGCCCACCATTCACATATCTCATTAGATACAATTTTCACTCCTACCCATGTGCAATTTGCTACCTACATTCACTAATAGAGTTCCATTCTTAGTATACCATGTAAGTTAATGCCATATACCAAATTATCTCCAAACTTAGTGGCTTATAACAATTGTCATTTGTTCTCTTTTATCACTTCTGTTGGTGAGGAATTTGGGAAGGGCTCCACTGGACACTTCTCATTTGGGCCCTCAGGAGTTGTGGTCATATGTCAGCTGGGGATATAGTCATCTGAGGGCCTCAGTGGGGTAGAAGGAGGTCCACTTCCAAGGTGGCTCACTCACATGGCTGGCAAGTTGATGCTGGCCAAGCTGGGAGCCTTGATTCTTCATCACATGGGCTTCTCCTGACGTGCCTTCATTGCCTCCCAATTATGGTGTCGGGCTTCTACCAGAACAAGCAGTACCAGAGACCAAGGTAACAGCTGCAGTAGTTTGTATGACTTAGCCTTGGAAATCATACACCATCCCCTCCATCATATTCTATTGGTTGATGTAGTTATAAAGTTCCACCCAAGGGGAGTGAATGTAGCTCCTGCATCTGAAAAGAGGAAGGAACATCATATTGTAAGAAAAGCACATGGAGGCTGACTGGGTGACTCAGGTGGTTGAGTGTCCAACTTCAGCTCAGGTCATGATCTCACAATGGATGGGTTCAAGCCCCACATCAGTCTTTGTGCTGACCATGCAGAGCCTGCTTTGGATTCTGTCTTCCTCTCTCTGATCTTTCTTCTCTCTCTCTCTGTTTCTCTCTCTGTTTCTCTCTGTTTCTCTCTCTCTCTCTCACACACACACATACACATACACACATAAATAAATAAATATTTATAAATATTATATTTATATATAAATAAATATATATATAAAAGAAAACATGCGGGGCAGGATATCTATTACTGTGGCCATCTTTGGAAAGTATAAACCACCATATATATCATATTAGGTGAAACCTGGAGTATCAAAGTTTTTAAATTTTAAAACCTTTTTTGTACATTCCAGTTACTCCCACATCTATGTCTTGCTATTTTCCTTCTTGGTACTACCAATAACTTTAAAAGCTACCCTAACTTAGGAGGCCTGGGGGGGCTTAGTGGGTTAGGCATCTAACTCTTGATTTCAGCTCAGGTCGTGATCTCTGAACTCTGTCTCTCTCTGTCTCTCTCTCTCTCTTTTGCTTCCTCCAAATAAATAAATAAACTTTAAAAAATAGAAATAAGATAAGAGTTCTCCTAGAACTTAAATCTTGTAGAAAAAAGTGATGGATGAAAGCAGAAGAAACTGAAAAAAAAAAACCATTTTAGCTAAACTACAACTCAGTCCTGCTAACAAGTGATTTTTAAAAAAATGTTTATTTATTTATTTTGAGAGAGGGAGACCACATGCAAGCAGGGGATGGACATACAGAGAGGGAAACAAAGAATCCTAAGCAAACTCCACACTGTCAGCACGGAGCCCAATGTGGTGCCCTACCCACAAACCATGAGATCATGACCTAAGCAGAAATGAAAAGTCAGATGCTCAATGGACTGAGCCACTCAGGCGGCCCTCAAGTGACAGTTTAAAGACTAAACTTCTAGTCTTCATGGCATTCAAACACCCCCATGGGTGTCTTGAAATCATGACATCCGATATGTTATAATGACCTGAGGCTAGTGGACAATTGTCTACAAAATCCCCAAATCACATAGCATTTGGTTGAATGAAAGACCTTCTTACTTTCTATGGAGGAAATGGTATTGTGTATGCCACGGACTGAATTGTATCCCCGCCCACTCCCATGCCAACCGAATTTGTATGCTGAAGCCCTAACATCTAATCTGGAGATAGGATCTGCAGGAGGGGGTAATTAAGGTTAAATGAGGTCAAAATGATGGAGCCCTAATCTGATAGGATGGTGACCTTATAAGAAGAAGCACTGCCTTGTAAAGACACAGAAGGCTGCCATCTGCAAGCCAGAAAGAAAACTCTCACCACAACTCCACCACCCTGGCACCCTGATCTTGAATTTCCTAGGCTTTAGAACTGTGTGAACTCTGTGTTGTGTAGGGTAGTCTGTCTATGATGTGTTGTCAAGACAGCATGAGCAGACTCTGAAGTATGTGGTAGAATCCATCGATTTGTTTTTCTTCTACCTTATGTTTATGGTAGTTCTAGAATTACATATTTTTATAACAGGATAAATACAATTATATGCACTTTTGAGAAATGAAACAATGCTTTCCTTTTTCATTCTGTGATTCTCCTAAATTCTAGTAAATGTTTATTGCAAACCCTGCAACATGCCAGGTATATGTTAGATGCTTGGGAATTGTGGGGCAGAACATGAGGAAATGAAGTCTCAGAGATGGTGATACGGCAGGCCCTACCCTCCAAGTGTTCACATGCTAGTAGAAGACAGAAGAAAATCACTAATTACGGTACAAAAAGAATGTACCACCTGTATCTCTTTCCCTGGCCAGTCTCATCATGGCACTTCAGCACTTGGTACAAGGCCTGGCACAAAGTGAGCACTCAGGAGAGGTTTGCTGAGATGTTGAAGGAATAGGCTTCTAAGAGGAAGGCACACTCTATAGGGCCTGAGCTGTTTCAACACAGTATTGGGTTGGCTGTGGGAATTCATGTAAATTAGATTTCTGTTTGTCAATATCTTAAACGACAATTAGTTTGGCAGAATATGGTAAGTTTTACGTATACAGTGGTCACTGGTCTTGAGAAAAGTGAAGAATTTTCTCAATATTAGAGTATTTATAGTCTAAGTGACCTTTGACAATCCTTCCCGTTGTTCTTGACTAATATAGAAAACTCTGCTGTGGTTATATCTTGGCCAGCAGAGGGCTACATGTATACAGCTAACATTTTCTTTTACTGATTAAAGACCTTGAGAGAATATATCTCCCCACTCTAATTGGTGCCCCCCATCCAACTCCCTGAAAGACAAGCCTGTCAGCCTTTCTGCCTGCTCTTTGGGAGGTCTTGCTTAATATGCCCCACTGGGTATGTAAGTGTATTGAGTGATTTTCTGTTCACAGTGACTCTCATATTTCACTCGTTATTCAGTCAATTAAACGGACAATGAAACTTGTCAGATAAAGGCCAACTATAATAAAGGAAACCTAACTATTTTTAAATGTTTATTTATTTTTGAGAGAGAAAGCAAGTGTGGGAGGGACCAAGAGAGAGGGAGACAGGGAATTCCAAGCAGACTCCGAGCTGTCAGTGCAAAGCCCAACGCAGGGCTCAAACTCACAAACCATGAGATCATGACTTAAACTAAAGTCAGAAACTCAACCAAGTGAGCCACTCAGGTGCCCTAAGGAAACCTAACTTTTAAGACTGTTAACTTGTTGAAGCACTTGGGTAGTTAGGTTGGTTAAGAGTCTCTCTCCTTCCTTCTGCCCCTCCCTGGCTTGCTCTTTCTCTCTCTCTTTCTCTCAAAAGAAAGAAAGAAAGAAAGAAAGAAAGAAAGAAAGAAAGAAAGAAAGAAAGAAAGAAAGAAAGAAAGAAAGAAAGAAGGAAGGAAAAAGACTGGTAACTTGTTAGATAACCTCTCCTATTCTCTTCTATGTCTGTTTGCCACAGGATTATGTAAACTTGGGGCCCCTGCAGGTGAAGCTCATGAGTGTGGAGAGCAAGAAAATGCCCATTCATTTTCAAGAGAAGGAAATTCCAGTCAAATTCTATGAAGATGTCAAGAGCCCAGACAGTTACATCACATACAGAATGATGAAGCCTTTTCTCTAAGACTAAAACCTGCAAAGTAAAAATAACAACTTTTCTTATACATTTTCATTGGGAACGGAAGTATATCACTTGCCCATCTTATTTACACTTTGGTCCATTATTAAGCCAGTTGTTATTTCTAAAGGTCATAACAACATTTAAAATCAAAGTTCTAGGTATTCAGCTGTTCCTTTATCTGCATGGCATGAGTGACAAAAATGAAAGTACACTTTATATTTCCATATTCAAATATTCAGAAGCATGATAATGGGCCCAAGATGGTTTCTGACCTTCCTTACCATTTAAAAAACTGCTGATTATTCTATCATTCCAATATGAAATAGTTAAATTAGAAATTTTCCAAGATAAATTTAGAGGTTTGTATAGCACTGACCACAACTCTTTCCCTCTAAGGGTCCCAGTCCAGAATTCAAGACTATTCTTCTTTCATCTAACACTACTTATAATAATAGAAAACACTTTGGAAACAAATAAACTTGAGGGTGATCGTTTATTATATAAAAATATTCCACCAAAGGGTGCCTGGGTGGCTCAGTTGGTTAAGCATCTAACTCTTGATCTTGGCTCAGGTCATGATCTCAATGAGCCTGCTTCAGATTCTCTCTCTCCCTCTCTCTCTGCCTCTCCCCAAACTCATGCACACAGGAATGCTTCTCTCTCTCTCTCTCTCAAAATAAATAAACTTAAAAAAAATTCCACTAAGAGTGAGATCTCTCTCCTCTCAGCTCTATTAAGTCTAAACTGCTGAGTCCCTGTTCAAGGCAAGTATCACTTCACTTTTATGGATGCCACAAGCCAAGGACTGAGATTGTGCCCGAGGTTGACATCAACACTCTATTTCAAAGCCACATTTACTTATAAGGCTTTTACAAGGAACATCTTTTAAATATAAGGCCAAAGATAAAGAGAAAATCAACAAAGCCAAATCCTTTCCTTTGAAGGGTTCATTGAAGTTGATAACCCCTAGTAAGACTAATCAGAAAGAAAACAGGAAACAAATGAAAAAGAAAACACTGCTACAATGCTACCGACATTGTGAAAAATATCATGAGAGGAAATTAAGGGGAAAAACTTTTCCCAATAAAATTGACAACTTCGATGAAATGGAAGCATTTCTTGAAAAATATTTCTGAAAAACAGGAAGAAATAAAAATTCTGAATAGCCCTCAATCTGTAAAAAAAGATCTAATCTATCCTTGAAATTTTCCCAAGAGGAAAATTTCAAGCCTAGATGGCTTACTTTACTAGCGAATTTTTCCAAATATTTCAAAAAGATTTAATAGCAAACATACACAAACTCTTTCAGAGAATAGAGAAAAGAGAAACACATCTAAATCATTCTATGAGGCCAATATAATTCTAACACCAAAACCTGGCAAATCATTACAAGAAAAGAGAATTACAGGGCAATATCTCTTATGAATATAGAGGCAAAATCTCTGACCAAATATTAGCTTACTGCATTTAGTAATACATATTTCATGAATAAAGAATGCAACGTTGGTTTAACATTCAGAAGAGTGTAAACACAAATAGAACCAATGGTTTGTATCAATTTCAATATCCTGCTTGTGATATTGTACTATAATTTTCAAAAATGATATTATTGAGGGAAACTGGGTAAGGAGTATATGTGATCTATTCATATTATTTTTAAAGTTTTTAATTAATTAAGTAATTAATTTAGAGAGAGCACAAGCAGAGAAGAGGCAGAGAGAGAGGAAGAGAGAGAGAATCCCAAGCAGGTTCTGTGCTGTCAGTGCAGACCCTGATGTGGGGCTCAAACCCACAAACCACAAGATCATGACCTGAGCCAAAATCAACTGTTGGATGCTCTACTGACTGAGCCATCTACCACCCCATATTATTTTGTACAATTGTAGGTGAATTTATGTTTTAAATCAAGGAAATAAAGATTAAAAAATAAAATAAAAATCAAGGGTATAATGAATGGAACATAGGAGCTAATTCATATGATCATCTCAATAGGTGCAGCATTTGATAACATTCAATCCGTGAAAAAAATTATAATAGTATGATAAAACTCTTAGCAAACCAGGAACATCTAAAAAAACACTCTAGCTAATTTTAGTAGTGACTAAATTAACATTTTCCCACTGAGGTCAGGAACAAGACACACATGTTCACTCTCATACTTCTATTCAGCAGTGTTTAACACAACTGGAGGTAGCCAGTTCAATAAAGCCAAGAAAAAGAAATTAAAAGCATAGAGATACAAAGGAAGAAGCAAACTGTCTTACTTACGGATATCAGGTTTCTGTAAGTAGATAATCCAAAGTAATCTACAAACTACTAGAATTTATAAGTGACTTTAGCAAAGTCACAGGGCACAAGGTAAATAATGATCCATTGTATTTCTTTATACCAGCAGTAAACAATTGGGAAAGAGTCAAATTACTTACAATGACATAAAAAACATCAAAATAAAGAAATGTGTCTAGTGAAATATGAGCAAAATTTCAATGTTGAAGACTGCAGATTATTGTTGAGGGAAATTGAAGACGTATATAAATGCAGAATAGAGACATATACCATCATAATGCATTGGAAAATTCAAAAGAGTTAAGATGTGAGTTCTTCCTATATCTGTAGACTCAGTGAAATCTCAAAAAAATTCCAGCTGATATTTTTCATAGAAATTAATAGTTTCTATCATTATTATGGAAATCTATAGCATAGGCAAAAGACCTGTGATAGCCAAGACAATCTTTAAGAAAAGCAATAAAATTGGAGAACTTATCAAATTGCAAGACTTTTTTTTTTTTTTTGGAAAAGGCTTTATTTATTGAGAGAGAGAAAGTGCAAGCAGGAGAGAGGCAGAGAGAGGGAGGGAGAAAATCCCAAGCAGGCTCCCCGCTGGCAGCAGAGGCTGACACAGGGCTCAAACTCATGAACCATGAGATCATGCGTGACCAGAGCTGAAATCAAGAGTCAGACACTCAATGGACTGAGCCACCCAGGTGCTCCAAATTGTAAGACTTAAACATTTCAGTAATTAAGACAGTTGGTAAGGATAAAGAAAAAGTCCAATGGAACAGAATAAAGAGTCCAGAAACCAACCCACAAAATCACTTAATTTCTGACAAACATGCCATTATAATTTGGGGAGAAAGGAGTTATTTTCAATTAAAAATGAAGTTCAGGCAACTGTATATCTATATGGGGAAAAATGAACCTTGATACCTACATCATACCTTACACAAAAATCAAAGTGGATCAGAGACCTAAATATGGAAGGTAAAACAATTGAGGTAGGAAATAAAATAACTTCACGTTCCCCTTTATACACACAATAGATCCAATAATCAAGCCTATGCTTGAATTAAAATCTGTATCTGGTAGGTGGGTAAATGTGGATTTGACAGTGTTCCAGATGTCCCCTCTCTCAAGCCTACTGCTTCCTATGTCATCTACCTCTTTGGGGGAGGGGGAGAGAAGGCCATAAAAATCACCAATCATAAATTGGTAAATTGAATTTCATGAAAATTAAGATCTCTTTTAATTAAAAGATACCATTAAGAGTCAAAAGGCAAGTCACATACTGGGAAAATGGATTTTCTATACATGTATTTAACAAAGAAATATCTAGAACATATAAAGAACTTTTACAAATGATTAGGAAAAAAGACAACCATTTTAGAAAACAAACATAAAAAGAAGATTGGTATTATTAGTCATCAGGAAAAAGGAAATTAAAACCATTAGTTACAACCATACACCCATTAGTTGTATTTAGAGGGTGGCCAAAATGAAAAGTTAAAAATAGCAAACATTGGGGCGCCTGGGTGGCTTAGTCGGTTAAGCGTCGACTTTCGCTTAGGTCATGATCTCGCGGTTCGTGGGTTCGAGCCCCGCGTCGGGCTCTGTGCTGACTGCCAGCTCAGAGCCTGGAGCCTGTTTCAGAGTCTGTGACTCCCTCTCTCTCTGACCCTCCCCTGCCCACGCTGTCTCTCTCTCTCTCTCCTAGAAATTAAAAAAAAAAAAAATAGCAAACATTGACAAGGATACAGAACACTTGAACTGCAATATAATTGTTGGTGGGATCATAAATTGGCACAAACACTTTGGAATATGTTTGGCAGTATTTTATTAAAACTGCACATATATAAATGTCATGATCCACCAGTTCCACTCTTGGCTTAATAATAGAATAGAAATGAGTGGTTATGGGGCACCTGGGTGACTCGGTTGGTTGATAATCTGACTTCAGCTCAGGTCATGACCAAGGTCACAGAATGGAGCCCACGTCAGGCTCCAGTGAGAGTGGAGCCTGCTTAAGATTCTCTCTCTCTCTCTCTCTCTCTTTCTCTCTCTTTATGCCCCTCTCCCCTGTTCAAGTGCTCTCTCTCTCTGAAATAAAAATGTTTTTAAAAAAATTTAAAAAAAAAGAAATAAGTGCTTCTGTTTAGCAGAAGACATGGATAAGAGTATTACCAGAGGCTTTATTGATAGTAACCAAAAATTTGAACAACCCTAATGACTATCAGCAGATTGTGTAAATAGTGGCTGATACATGTATATCAATATATATAAATCCATATATAGGCTCATGATGGAATAGTATACAGCAATGAAAAAGAATAAACAACTACCAAATGTGCTACATAGATCAATCCTATACACAAAAGACTGAGTAAAAGAAGGCAGACACAAAAGAGCACATATAGTATGATTCCATGTATGCAAAACAGGACAAGCACACTAACCTTAATGACAGAAGTCAGAATCGTGGTTACTTTTGGGGTAGGGAATGCCTAGGGTGGTACAGGAAGGAGTTTCTGGTAATCCTGATCTGAGTGAGTGGCAGTTAGCATGGATAGTTCACTTTATAAACATTAAGCAGGACACTTAAGATTTGTGTACTTGACTGATATATTTTACACTTTAAAAAGTTACGCCCCTGATGGGCACTGAGGAGGTGACTTGTTGGGATGAGCACTGGGTGTTGTATGTAAGCGATGAATCATAGGAATCTATCCTCGAAAAGAAGAGCACACTGTATACACTGTATGTTAGCTAAGTTGACAAATTATATTTAAGAAAAAAGTTACCCCACCACCACCACCAAAATACCCATCTTCCAATCCATTCCATAAAGTGACAATGTGGAAAGGCCATGTTTCTGTC